AAAAGAAGTAAAGCTGTCACTATTTGCATATGACATGATACTATACATAGAGAATCCTAAAGATGCTACCAGAAAACTACTAGAGCTAATCAATGAATTTGGTAAAGTAGCAGGATACAAAACTAATGCACAGAAATCTCTTGCATTCCTATACACTAATGATGAACAATCTGAAAGAGAAATTAAGGAAACACTCCCATTTACCATTGCAACAAAAAGAATGAAATACCTATGAAAAACCTACCTAAGGAGACAAAAGACCTGTATGCAGAAAACTATGACACTGATGAAAGAAATTAAAGATTTTACAAACAGTTGGAGAGATATACCATGTTCTTGAATTGGAAGAATCAACATTGTGAAAATGACTCTACTACCCAAAGCAATCTACAGATTCAATGCAATCCCTATCAAACTACCAATGTCATTTTTCACAGAACTAGACAAAAAAATTCACAATTTGTATGGAAACACAAAAGACCCCGAATAGCCAAAGCAATCTTGAGAAAGAAAAACGGAGTTGAAGGAATCAGGCTCCTAGACTTCAGCTTATACTACAAATCTACAGTAATCAAGACAGTATGGTACTGGCACAAAAACAGAAATATAGATTAATGGAATGCACATTTCGTTGCCCTTATTTTTGATAGAGGCAAGGATATAAAATGGAGAAAGGACAGTCTCTTCAATAAGTGGTGCTGGGAAAACTGGACAGCTACATGTAAAAGAATGAAATTAGAACACTCTGTAACACCATGCACAAAAATAAACTCAAAATGGATTAAAGGCCTGACTGTAAGGCCATGCACTATAAAACTCTTAGAGGAAAACATAGGCAGAACACTCTATGACATAAATCACAGCAAGACCCTTTTTGACCCACCTCCTAGAGAAATGGAAATAAAAACAAAAAGAAACAAATGGGACCTAATGAAACTTCAAAGCTTTTGCACAGCAAAGGAAACCATAAACAAGACCAAAAGACATCCCTCAGAATGGGAGAAAATATTTGCAAACGAAGCAACGGACAAAGGATTAATCTCCAGAATTTACAAGCATCTCATGCAGCTCAATATCAAAAAATCAAACAACCAAATCCAAAAATGGGCAGAAGACCTAAATAGAAATTTCTCCAAAAAGACATACAGATTGCCAACAAACACATGAAAGGATGCTCAACATCACTAATCATTAGAGAAGTGCAAATCAAAACTACGAGGTATCACCTCACACCAGTCAGAATGGCCATCATCAAAAAATCTACAAACAATAAATGCTGGAGAGGGTATGGAGAAAAGGGAACTCTCTTGCCCTGTTGGTGGGAATGTAACTTGATACAGCCACTATGGAGAACAGTATGGAGGTTCCTTAAAAAACTAAAAATAGAACTACCATACAACCCAGCAATCCCACTACTGGACATATATCTGAGGAAACCATAATTCAAAAGATTCATGCCAAATGTAAAATAGATAGCTAGTGGAAGCAGCCACATAGCACTGGGAGATCAGCTCGGTGCTTTGTGTCCACTTAGAGGGGTGGGATAGGGCGGGTGGGAGGGAGACAGAAAAGGGAGGAGATATGGGGATATATGTATATGCATAGCTGATTCACTTTGTTATAAAGCCGAAACTAACACACCATTGTAAAGCAATTATAGTCCAATAAAGATGTGAAAAAAAAAGTTATGTACCACAGTGTTTATTACAGCTCTATTTACAATAGCCAGGACATGGAAGCAACCTAAGTGTCCATTGACAGCTGAATGGATAAAGAAAATTTGGCACATATATACAATGGAATATTACTCAGCCATAAAAAGAAACGAAATTGAGTTATTTGTGGTGAGGTGGATGAACCTAGAGTCTGTCATACAGAGTGAAGTAAGTCAGAAAGAGAAAAACAAATACCGTATGCTAACACATGTATATGGAATCCAAAAAAAGAAAATGGTTCTGAAGAACCTAGGGGCAGGACAGGAATAAAGATGCAGACGTAGAGAATGGACTTGAGGACATAGGGAGGGGGAAGGGTAAGCTGCGACAAGGTGAGAGAGTGGCATGGACATATATACACTACCAAATGTAAAATAGCTAGCTAGTGGGAAGCAGCCACATTGCACAGGGAGATCAGCTTAGTGATGTGTGTCCACCTAGAGAGGTGGGATAGGGAGGGTGGGAGGGAGACGCAAGAGGGAGGAGATATGAGGATATATGTATATGTATAGCTGATTCACTTTGTTATAAAGCAGAAACACCATTGTAAAGCAATTATACTCCAATAAAAATGTTAAAAAAATGATAATAATGGGAGGACTGGGTGAATAGGTGTTAGGAATGGGAGGAAGGCTTTTTACTGTATACTTTAAAAATAAATTTTCATTTTTGAATCATATGAATATATTATATCTGAAAGGAAGTTAAATTTTGAAATGGTATTTTTTAACATTAATGGACACATTATGCATAATTAAGCCCATATTAGCTGCTGTAGTGCCATGCATTCAAGCATTTCAACACAGTCATTCTTTGGACCAATAATATTTTAACAGTTCTTGGGGTTACTATAAATGGTTAGATTAAGCATGATTAGATCCCCCAGAATCACTTGAAGCAGAAAAATCAAGATATTCTAGCATCTTCTTGTCCCTGTGAAGCTATTCTCAAAAGTCTCCCTCTCTGGGCTCTTCGTTTAAATTCTTTCCCTTAGGTTATTGACCCCTTGTTGCCCCTTACAGCATGATGTTCAAAAACATAGTCTTTAGAGATCATTTGACCCTGCCTAAACTTGGACCAAAATACCTCAGTTTCCTCATGGGTAAAATGGAGGTAACACAAACTTTGTAGGTTTGCTGTGGGGATTTAGTGAGTTTATGTACGTGAAACTCTTAGCCCAACATTTGGCACACAATAAGAATTCTAAAAATCCTAAGTACCTCTACTATTACTACATTGACTACTAAGATTTCCGAGTGGCCTGTATTTTTAGTGGGTTCTAAAGTCTGACATGTTTTGATGGATACTGTGATTACTAATCTTGCATGAAAGGTTTAGGGTGGAATATCATCTTCAGTCAATTCAAGTAACAGTTGCATGATTATCATTTAGACACTCACCCATAAATTTATGCTAATTTCCTGTCTGAATTAAAGCTCCTCTAATTAAACACATTAAGTTTCTAATTAATAATCCTTTCACTCTTTAATTCAAAAATTATGTTCATTGTGCATCAAAAAGTATCAGCATTTTTAGCATACTCATACCAAAAGTTCAACTACATTTTTGTATTATGAAATACAATTTACCCAAGTACTACAGTCAAAATTATCTCGTAGTGTCTCAAACTCACAGCGTCACTCAGTCATCATAATCAAGATATTTTAAGGAAGAATTTTTTTATTATATTTACGTAATTACCATTTCAGTTGTAAGAAACACTCGATGTGAATTTTAACTATTTCAATGTCAATAATCCACATTAACAATAAAATTAATTAATATTACCTATTTAAAATGTGTAAACTATTCTAATAAACATGTAAAAGGCTTTGGGAGAAGAAACATAAAGCTCAGGTTTAATTTTCAAATGTTAGGATTAGAGAGCTAAAACTGACTATCAGAAAACAACGTGGACCCCAGTGAGCCCACAACAAAACATTGCCAAATTCCTTATTAGTAGTAAATTTCTTCTTTCTGAATTCCCTCAGAAAACATACAACCAGAGATTACCAAGGGAAATACTAGAAAACTGTGAATTATGCTTAATCCTTGGGCTATAATCTGGAAATTTTTAATTAAAAAACTAAAGCCTTCGTTTTAATGTTGGAATGATATAACTTGAAAGGAAAATTGAGATTACTTTTGTCATTAAATAAACGTTTAGTGCAACTTTATGGAGCAAGCACTGATTTATATATCCCTTGGGGAAATAGGAAAAAAGTAAGCCCTAAGGGAGATTGTAATCCACTAAGCAAATTGAGACATGTAAGGTAATAATTACAATATAAATATTAAGTGACAAGGGCCGTGCTAAGGGGAGTTCAGAGGGTGGCGACCACAGAAACCCTTTTGCATTTTAATTAGGCCTTGCAGAAAGGTAAAATTTCAATAGCCAAAAATGGTGGAAGAGATCATTTTAAATAAAGGGAATAATATGAGCAATGTCTGCAAGGAAATAGCAGAGCATGTCTGTAGAACTGAACATACAGACTGCAGTATGAAATAATAAGAATGGGAAATAAGACAGATTCAATAAGAAGCAGTAATACAAAGCTGAAAAATTCAGACTTTTTCATAAGCTATGGAAAGCTATGAACAGTACTTTGATCGAAGAGTAATTTTATAAAAGTTGCCCTAGGAAGATTATACTGGTAATTGTGTACAAATACATTTGGGTTCTGGAGGAGGGGAAGAGAATGTTCTAGTAGTTCAGGCAAAAGATCCATATGCATCTGCACTAGGCACAGCAGAACTGGAAAGGAAGAGCTGAGTGTAAATATATGGAGTGATTGCAAACATTCACTGAGATCATCTCAACTGTCCTGAAGTAGATGACTATTATCTCCATTTTACAGAAGTCGATTAACTTAGTCACAGTCTTTAGTATAGTGCTGGGACCTGCACCCCAGACTCACTGACTTCTAAAGCCAACACTTTCAACCCCTATGTTCCCTAATACTTTAAGCTCATTGTACTGAATGTTGAGGAGAAAATTGCGGCCAAAAATGACACTGAGGTCTCAGGCTTTAATAATCGGGAAAATAATGGTATCGATTGAAACAAAACATAGACTATGAGGAGGTAGAATAGATTCAGGATTATTAGACACAAATCCTATCTTAACCAACCCAGTTTCCTGAAGAGTATTATGTTTTCAGTGTCATATGAAGAATGTTTCTTTTTCATATTATTCATTGGTCCTGCTTTAGTCTTTGAATGTTCAGTTTATCCTGTGATCACCCACTTCCAATTTAATCCACTAAAACTCTACTGTTTCATCAGGTGAGAAGTTTCCTGACAAGAAGCCTAAGGTGCAGTTAGTCATAACATACGAGGATGCGAAGCTGACCATACTTGTGAAGCACGTGAAGAACATTGTAAGTTTATCTTATCTAATAAGAAACATGTAAACCTACTTTTAGAAATCACTTTCTTCCTTTAAGCAATTAATGTCAACGTTCGTGAGAGAAATGGGGCCAGCCACCAAGTGTAAGTAAGGAACAGTGAACCAGGTACAGCGTTGTGCCTCAGTGTAATTGTGATGCTTGGGGGAAAGGCTATAAAATATTTCACAGAGCAAGTCATAGAATGAAACCCAGACTTTATTCAAAATGAAGTGTCAGGACAAATCTAGTGAAAAAGCTTTGAAAAAGCAGGACTACCGGGGCTTCCCTGGTGGCGCAGTGGTTGAGAGTCCACCTGCTGATGCAGGGGACACGGGTTCGTGCCCCGGTCCGGGAAGATTCCACATGCCGCGGAGCGGCTGGGCCCGTGAGCCATGGCTGCTGAGCCTGCGCGTCCAGAGCCTGTGCTCCGCAACGGGAGAGGCCACAACAGTGAGAGGCCCGCGTACCACAAAAAAAAAAAAAAAAAAGCAGGACTACCTAGAGTATTAAGAGCCAAAAGAAAAAAAGCTATGTCCCGAGAATTTACCCCTCTCTCATCACGCTGAGCTTTGTGGAAGACTGACTCATCTCTTTGAATAGTGCCAGCACCTTCTTTGTGAAGCCAGGAGCTCTTAGTGTTTTCCCACAGATTGCCATTGAGTATGTTATCATATTCTGATGTAATTGCTCAAGGGTATTTCTTTTCCCTCAAAAAGTAATAATTTCTTTGATGACAGGGACCCCATCTTTGCATCCCCAGAACCAAGAACGTCAATGGTAGTTAGCCTCTAAGGAAAACTAAAAGCTGCTTTCTCTATTATACCCCATTCCTTCCTGAAGATTGGTCGAGTCAGAGAGGCAAGGATGGCAACTGGGCCATGTCGTTAAGTAAGAGAGGGAGCTTTCTTTGTCACAAGGTAATTGATTAAAGGTCTGAATCTGGGTGCAACAAACAGAAAAGGGTAACTCTAAGACTCACCTATTTCTCTGGTCTTTAGCTAGCCTAGCAAAACAGGTCCTCCACATGGTGAAACTCCCCAGGAGACTCCACATGGAGAAAGTCAGAAGCACTACCTTAGCTCTCTCCTTTATGCACATAAATCTCTAAGGATGCACTTTGAAGGACTTAAAGGAGCAAACTCTTCTCAACATGACATGCATTTGGAACACACTAGAACTTAATAAATATTTGTTCATTGAACAAATATTTGGCATAACTTTCAGGGAATGCATCCTTTACAAATTTAGTATTAGCCAGATATCCAAGGATGATTGTTTGTAAATCTATAGTGTTTGCAATCAGCCATTTTTGTAAGAGCTGGGCAAATATTATTAAATGTGTTTTTGTAGAACTTTCACTCATTAAAATAATTATTTTCAATTGCTTTTGATAAGTTAATCAGCTTAGCTGAGAATAGCAGTTGTTTAAGAAATTGTTAGGCTGGGAAATGAAGATTAAGTTAGATATTTTTGATAGCTGTATGCATGTTCGTGGACTTTAAGCATCTGTACAAATATACATGATAAAATAATAGACTATTAAGAAATAGTGTTAATCAAGTTAACAGAACGTATATATGTGTATGATATATAATTGTCAATTGAAAACAGTCCTCTGGGAAACTATACATATATTTCAGTAATGTCATTGCTCAAAACATTTTAGGACATGCCTGTTGACATTGCTTTTAGCTCTGCATATAAACCACACAATAAACTTGTTGATACTAGTCAAGAGTCATGCCTAATGTTTGATCAAAAGCAGTATTAACCAACTTGGCCACCCATTTTATTCATCAGCTAAATCCCCAAATTACTTTTGACAGTTTTCAAAAATGCCCTTTACACTCAGATGAAGTTGCACTACCAATAAGTATATTCAAAACCAGTGTGATGCAGGCATAAAGGTGGGGAGTAAGTGACTAAGAGCAAGAGTTTAAGATTTAGATCAAGTTATAGGTAAATGGAAAATGAGCAGGTGAATCCTATAAAAATTTGAAAACCACTTAGGGCCGCTAGACCCTTTACATTGCCAATGCCCTCGGAAGGAAAGTTGTTAATAATGAAGTCATGCTCCCTACTAGTTCTTCTCTCCTCCACAATCTCTTAACATAGCCCTGGAACTCCTCTTTTTTTTATTTCCAGGCTTGTGGCTTTAAATACCACTTACATGTCTTTTTCTTCCATATTTTATAATTCTAGCTTGAAAGTCTCCCTAAAATCCAGAATTATATGTACAACTGATTACTCAACAACTCTAGTAGAAATTCAGTAGACAGCATAAATCTAATATACATCCAATCAGACTTCTGATTATCACCCCCCTAAACCTGCTTCTTTGGCAACCTGTCTCACCTCTAAATGGCACCTCCATCCTACTAATTGCTCAGGTTAAAATCCTCAGAGTCCTTTTGACTGCTCTCACAAACTACAACCAAACTTATCAGCAAATCCTGGGAGCTCAGCTTTCAGAATAAATCCAGAATCCCACCATGTTTCACCTCCACTGCTTACCACCGTTGGTTCAATCTACCATCATCTCTCACTTGAATTACTGCTGTAGCCTCTTAACAGGTCTCCCTGCTTCTGCCTTTATATCTTTTTAGTCTCTTCCTAACCTAGCATCCAGAATACTCCTTTGAGAATAAAAGTCAAATCCTGTCATTCCTGTCTCATATCCCTCTGGGGAAGGAATCTCATACCACTTACAATGAAAGCCAAGTATTGACGCCCTTGACCTCTCCTACCTCACCTCGTGCTACAGACTCCCTGAATCACTCCACTCCAGCCTCAGTGATTTTCTTCCTATGCCTTGAATGTTTCTGCATGTTTCTGCCCCAGGACATTTGTACCTGCTACTCAGCTTATTGGGACTGCTCTTCCCAGGCCCATGACTCAAATTCTCCATGGTTCAATCTCACATGTCCTAAACAACTGTGTTTAACTGTCGCCTTTTCTGTGAGGTCCTCTCTGACTCCCATATGTAAAACTGCAAAACCACCCCTGTTGGTTGGCACTTCCAAACTTCCTTTCCTACTTTATTTTCTCCACTGCCCTGTATCATTGCTGTAAACCCGGAGGCTAAAGCAGGGCCAAGTATATAGTAGATGCTCAATGAATACTTCGTTAAATGAAAGAATGTTAAATTACTTCTAATGTGAACAACTAAGAACTAAGACTTTTTTCACCTTCCCCAAATCATCACAGCAAAGTTCTCAGGCTTTGCATTTTTCACAGCATCTCTTAAATGACTATTTTATTTCTTCTGCTTATCTGAAGACAGAGATAACATTATAATGTAAATGACAGAAAAATCTATCTGTAAATTCTCAACATATTTTCTTATTTCAAGTTTTAACTAATTGTTTATTTTTTTAGACTTTAGTATTTTCACATGCTTGAGTAATCAGACTAAAGAAGTCGTGCTTGGTTTTAATATTAAAATGAATTATTCTGCCTGCAGTTCTGTTATATTTAATAGTGAGTTTGATGAAAAGAATTGTTTATCTTATATTAAATCCTTGAAGCTTTCTCTAAGAATTACTTCCCTCCTGTGAATTCACAAGTTAAAAAAAAATTGCTAAATTTTTTTCCTTTCAAAGCAGCACGATATGATTTATCCTAGTGAACAGAGACTGACAAAGTAATGCAGGTATTTAGAAGCTTGACCAAGATTATTTTCAATAATTTTTCAGTTTATGTAACAGAGGAACATAGAAAAATCATTTAGATTTGAAATATGTTTTTAAATCTTTCTAGTGTTTTCCCATGTAGCCCACTTTAAAATGATCTCTTCCATTGACTTCTGCAATGTCTCTCTATATATTACAGTGTCTCTCCTGGTCTCATGGATTCCCCTAGTTTTGTGTCATTTCTAGACTGTTTTCTTCTACCTGCTCCAGAATAAGCCCATTCCAGAAGGCTCTAAAAGTAATCAATAGCATGCCAGACTTCCTTCTGATATTGAATATGCTCACATTATGAGAGTCTCCTACTCTGTAACAGAATAATAAGTCATTTCAAATGAGGAGCAAGTCATGTCAGGGAAATCAGGGTATATCTCAAATGGAGTGCTGTTTAATCCTTTCATAAGACACAAAATCACAGAAAATCATTACTGTATGGAAATTAACAGAAGAGAGAGGGAATTAGTCAAACACAACAAGAACCCAGGCTAAACACACACACACACACACACACACACACACACATACATGTTAAAATTTTATTACATTTTATTTTTTATTTTAAAGAATTCTTGTAATTTTATTATGTATGTATAGTCTGGGGGTCCTTGTTTTTAAAATCCACATTCCTGGATGCGACTCCCAATGACTGTGATTCTGTAGTTTGGCTTGGAATTTCTACATCTGCCTTTTACAGTCTTCTCCTGGTCTCATGGATTCCACTACTCTTTCACGTCTAGACTTGTTTTCTTCTCTTCTGCTCGCAAATACGAGCATTTCAGAAGGTTCTCTGACACAAGTGGTCCATGGACACACTTTGAGAAACATTTCTCATGGCTAATTACCCCATAAATGGCACTCTGCATACAATGGGAGTTCTGTACTTAGCACCAAGTGACTTGTGTTGCCCACTGGTTAAGAGACAACACATAGACTTGGTGAAGGTAACAAAAGAGGGTTGTGAAAATAAATCACAGATGATGGCAATATTCGATATGTAAAAATAACAATGTTCTATTTATCCTTTTAAAAACTTCTAACTTCTCACTCTGTGCATTCATTCTTTTGTTTCTTTTTGCGTTTTTTTTGTTTGTTTGTTTTGCGGTACGCGGGCCTCTCACTGTTGTGGCGTCTCCCGTTGCGGAGCACAGGCTCCCGACGCGCAGGCTCAGCGGCCATGGCTCACGGGCCTAGCTGCTACGCGGCATGTGGGATCTTCCCGGACCGGGGCACGAACCCACGTCCCCTGCATCGGCAGGTGGACTCTCAACCACTGCACCACCAGGGAAGCCCTGTGCATTCATT